GTAATGTATTATTTTTTTTGTCTTATAAACTTCCAGTAAAGCAAAATTAAGTTTAAGGTTGTAAGACATTGTGAGGAGCACAGATAAGTTTGCAGGGAAATGTCTAAATAAATAACAATCATGCTCTGTGATGAATTGTTCTCTATGACTAAAGTGTCAGAACTATTTTCAAGCCCTATAATGCCGGATATACAGCAGAGGAACACCAAAAAGGCAGCGCTTTTGTGTAGAAGTAAGCACGAGCCTGCTTAACATTTGAAATCCCTGGTCTGACGGAGCAGTAAAACGAAGCCTTGGCATGAGTCATGAAAGGCCTCTGCCCACTTATTACATCTACAAGCTTGACTGCCTTTCATCTTCCCCGCAGCGCGCTCATCCGATTGTTGCTGCTGCCACATCAGGATCCCTGAGTTCAAAGGACTCTCCACGCACGTCTGAGGTTATTTTCTTCGCTCCTTCTCCTAAATTGCCTTTAACATGCCTCAGATTTGCACCTTCATGTATAGTCGGGTATTTATTGATAAGAAAGAAAGCTGCAAAAGCATTTACCTTCCTGATTTATCTGCTGTGAGCAGGCCAGATGTGTGTTTCCTGGCACTGATGGCTCTGCTTGGGCTATGCAGAGGGGGCGTGGGGGTATACTAGTGATATGTAAATGCTTTCCTGTTTGGAAGGAAAGATTCACACCAGTTCAGACGAGAACCGGTTTTTCCTTTGGGATGAGAGCTCTGAGTTCCCAGGAGAAGCATCCTCTGAACTCCTACGTTTCCCCTTACTTTGGTTATACTATCAAAGGGAAAGAACACACATAAAATAGGGGGAGAGGGCACTCTTTTGTGAATAATGCATTCATAATTGGTTATATTTGCACCTAAAGCACAACACACACAAAAATAGAGCAACTCACTACTTTGGCCAAACACTCTCTCAACCTTTGAGGCACCTAAACACCCTGTGAATGAATCTGTTACTTCTTTTCTCTTTGTTCTGGCAGCTTGTCAGGATATTTTTCCCCCTCCACTTGTCCTCATTTTCTGTGTGCATTCCTGCAGCTGCCAGCATGATAGACTATTGACTGAGCTCATTTTGAAACATGCCATGATATGACATAAATCGAGTTTACGCTCTAAGCTGAAGAACTGCCTTCATGTGAGCTGCAGAGACGACGACGCTGCCAGAAGAGTTTGAGCTGCGGAGTCATTTTTGTGTGACGGCACCAGTGGGAAATGTGACAAAAATGCAGCAAGTAAGACTTAAAGAGTCCTAGAGAGAAAAGTAAGTCAGGCTTAAAGCCTTGTGAAAATTTCAAACAATAAATAAAAAAAGATCCTTTATGTTTTCTGCCAGTTGTGGCTTGCTAACAATAATTTAGGCCTCAATCTGACAATTTGATGGGCTTTTAAAATGGATAAATAACATCTGGCATTCTAGGTTAGAAGGTTCAATTTATTGAAATTTATCCAGCTCACAATTACACACAACTCAGGACACAACAGAGGAATATATTTTCTTTCATTTTTACAAATAAAAACATAAATTTTAAATAAAGTCGAGCCCCATTTACTCAGGCTAGAGTCCAGTATAAACATTTTATCTGAAGCAATCAATTGTAAAAAGCATTGGCTCTACCTTACTCATCTAAAATAGGTCAAATTCAGCTATTTTCCATATTTATGCTGCTATGTGTTTAGGCTGCTGGAGGACATAAGGGCCATTTTCCATTTTCTGCTTCACTCTGTCCCTATTCTCCCATTCTGCACAATTTGGTAGTTCCACACATAACTATGTTTTTTATTCTTTTTCTCGGCGTAGTAGCTTAATCTGGCCTGTTCCTGTCCGGCTGTGACTTTGGCCTGTGAGTTTGGCCAATTATCCAGTGTACTAAATGTATATGCTCTCATTAATCCTCTGACATGAGACCTTGCTTGTACGGAGCCACCTGTGGAGCTAGTTAACAGTTACCTTTGGTAATCTGCTTCTTTTTCTTTGTCTACTTCTATCTCCCTGAACCCCAGTCGGTCTCGGCAGATGGTCGCTCACAGTGAGCCTCGTTTTCCTGGAGCTTTCTGTCGCTACGAGCCTGCTTGGGGTGAGGGATTGCTGAAGAGTCAAGACAAAAGCATGTCCTTCAATGACTCAATGCAATCAAATGGTTTTCTTTGATAGAAACGTTTAGCCAATCGGCCTGCATTCTCTGAAAGATGACGTACTATGAATTGGCGCTGTATGAATAAACTGAAATGAATTGAAATGTAATTCAAATCTGTATTTCCAGGTAATCTAATAGGGATCCTTTTAAGGGAATAATGATCCCCTTGAAAAAAAATCAGGACTTCTTTGGTCCTAAATGCTGGAAGAAACATGCACAGCGCAAAGTAACGCAACATATGTTTGGAAACTTTGAGGGTGTTTGGATTAAACTTCTTCCTCTTAAAAAAAAAAAAAGAAATCAAAGCCTAAAAGCTTAAAATGAAATCTAATCTAGCAGAAATAAACACGGAGAAAATCTGTGAAACCGAAACATGTATTAAGTATACAGCTGATCAGTGACGCTGCCGTCTGGGCAGTAATGGCCACCCATTTACTCAGCAGTCCATACAGTAGCTGGTGAAATGTTTCCGTCTGTGCTGCTTTGACAGATGGGCCAGCCCTGCCAAGGTCTGTGTCATCAGCCTGGCTGAGAGTCCAGGCTATTAATAAGCTGATCTTAAAGTCATTGTTGTCATTGCGTAACTCATTATCTTATGTGTGAGCTGTCTGTCTGTCTGCAAGTAAGGCCCACATCTTCATTTAGTAGGTTGCCTTTTATTCCCTAACCTCGCAGTGAGTGTTTGGTTTGAAGGGAAAAAAAATAAAAACGTTTGGTGTAAAGAAAATAACCTACAAGAGTAGAGCAGGAAAATACTTCTTACATGTTTTCCTATGTATTGAAGGGTTTATTAAAGTCTTTAAGGTTGAAGTGTCCTGAACACAGCTGTCTTCTTGCTAGATCTGTCCCTAATCAGAGGCTGTTTCCACCGACTTTTCACGCGCCTGACCTTTACTCTGATCCATCTCAGTCCTCCGCACCTGTCGGCAAATTACAGGCAGCTCAAAGCTGTCACCGCCTTCCTGACTGTGCTTCTCCTTGGACTTTCTCTTGCTCCAAACATCACTATTCTTACAATACAGATGCAGCTGTGAGTCCACATCTGGAAGCTTCCACCTAAGCAGATGCAGCACATTGTATTCAGCTATTCAGGACCGTGCTACAGGAGGGCCCAAAGTATGGGGCACTTAAGCGATTTTAGGGTCGTCCTTGATTGCAATTCAATTAATTAATTAATTAACTTTGTCAGCTTGATGTAGATACATATTTTTTTAAAAATGAAAAAAGTTCAGGTGCAATAATTTATTTTCATACCTCAGTCATGTTTTTTCTCTCTTAGTTTTTTTTTTTTGCGTAGGATTTTAGTAGGATTCACTGCAATCCAGTGAATCCTACTAAAGAGTAGAATTGGATGCAAAGACAGACACACACACAAAAAAACAGCCTTTCTTTTTAACCAAACCTGCAGAATTTTTCTTTTAAATCCAGAGGTGGATTTACTTGAGTAACTTTAAATTTAAATTAATTTTAATGTAAATTTAAAAGCAGTTTTACTGCACACTCCATACTTTTTACTTTTACTTGAGGGATATATTAGTAAAATCTTGCAACACTTGAGTAAAAGGTTTGGCTGTTTCACCCAGAGAGAGTAACCTCAATGAAATACAAATTTGTTTTTAACAGTATCTCTCTAGACAATGGCACACAGCTAACGTTTGTCAAAATGAGAGTTCCTCTTTTTGAGCCCAATTTACTTTATAGCAGGTGAACCTACTGTTATATTTGGAGGTCAGGCTTAAATACAGTCTGTAGTATTTTATTACCCCTGGGGGTGCTTGGTTTTTAAAGAAAATTGGTTTGGAACGTGTCTTTTGCCTGGATTTCTTATTCTTTAATTACATTATTCATTCATTTGTATCAATTATTTAAGTTAAATTCAAAATGTCAGAATTTGGGAAATACCTGTACATTTTGCTTTGTTATTGCATAATTTTAAATGGTAAATCAGATACTTTTCTTTGCAAGAAACCGCTCACTTATTTAAATAAATCTTAATTTTTGGGTACTCTGATTGACTTTATTGATTCTTACAGTGAAATTTACTCGTCACAGCGGCTCAAATATACAAAAAGATGGAGGTGCCAATTAAAAAGCTGCATGGGGGTATACATGCGTATTTATCTATATAGCTATTGCACTGGGTATCAAATATAAAGAAACTGATTATTGCACAGGGTATTAAATAGTAATACCCACCTTGTTAAAATCTATGATGCTTTACAGATCCATTTTCCAATATGACTAAGTTACAATTTGGTAACTTGTTTTGTTAAAATACTGGGTGTAATTTAATTGCTGGGTTAAATAATTTTAGCTAATTGAATAGAGTAAAAATCAAAAACTTCTGTTCAAGTCAAAAAGTTGATTTTTGTCATGTTTGGCCCCCAATGCAATAGGACCAATGGTAAAAGAAGGAAGAGCTTCTCTTCTCTTTGAGGTTCCAACATATCTAAACTCATCTGCATTATTTTATTTTTTTTAAGATAAGCTCTAACCAGAGGGAGCGGTGCAGTTTAGTACCTTAGTGGCAGCATCATGGTGTGGGATCAGAGCAGACAGGGATGCTGGTCACAGCTGATAAGTATCCCAGAACAAAACATGTTAGAGGCAGCAAAAGTAGCCTCTAGGTTCCAGCTTTTTTTTTTTTTTTTTTTTTTATGCAATGGAAAAACTGCATTGTCACCAGCTGGATGCAAACTTAAAGCAGAGGAGAAAGCATGAAATGCTTTAAATGCTGTCATTCTGCAGGATATCTGGACCAGTGCATTACTCAAGCTGTAACAATATTTAATATGTCAGGTTTGGCTCCAAAACGAGAGAACAGCAGTGCAGTTATTTAATACCAGTGACAAATGTTTTGATATTTTATTAAAAAGTAAAGACATAGTTCAGCCGTCAAGGCCGACCCATTCATCATCAACTCTGTGATGGCAGTGATTTCTGTCACAGACCTGAGCCTGGCCATCTGCTCTGCTCAGATCAGCAGTGTCTGTCCACAGGCTTCATTCTTTAACCTCCAACCATTCCTATCCAGCTTTAAACTATAAATATATAGAGATTCATTTAAAAATTAAGTGTAAAAGCATTTTGCAGCTCGTCCAAGAATAAAAACATCTGAACTTGGATGTCCTCCAGAGGGCTCAGATTGTTCAAACATGTCTCAGTAACTCAGAGTGGGGATTTCTTTTTTTCTTTAAAAACAATTTACTGGTTGAGCAAAATAAACAAGTTGGGCAAAAGATTGTGATCAGAAAGTTTGGATGATAAAAAAAATAAAATCACTGGAACACAGCATTTCACAGAACAGACCAGGAAAAACAGCCTAATCACTGTACAGATATATAAATATATACACAATGTTGGCAATCAAAAAAAATGTAATAATTGGCTGCCATAAGAGGTATTCCTTTTAAAGAGCTCTGAAATATGCAGCAAACTGGAGTCATTGAAGGAACAGAGCGCCACCTGGTGACGCCACCAAGAAATAGGCTGAGTTGACGATTGTTGGTCAGAAAACGTAAAAGTCAGTTTTTGCTGAGACATTTTCTCTGTGCATTTATTGGACAGGTTTTCATTTACAATATCAAAATAAGATGTGCCAAACAAAAAAATTTTAAAAAATTCCCACTTTCTTTAACAACAAAACAGATGCTGGTTTTAAATACTGTGTACAAGAGATTATGCACATAAATCTATGTACGGTCCTGTACTTTTAGAGGAGGAGTACAAACAGGTGGATCTTCTGAGGTGTTTTAAAGTGGCAGGGCACTACAGATGAGGAAAGGCTGCGCAGCTCTACGAGCCGCTCTGCTTCCTGAAGATGAGCAGGATTTTAACGTAGGCCAAGTTAAACCAGAGAATATCTACAGATTTGTATTCAAATCCTGTGGCAGCTCAGAGGCGGCCTGGCAAAGCGTGTCAGGACCCACCCTAGTGTGAAGTTGTCAATCGCGAACTGAAATAGAAACCCTAAGAGCCATGACGACAACCCATAAATGTATAGGTTCTCTTTTCTTTTTTTTTTTTTTTTACTTCCTTGGGATAAACAATGAAACAAAACAAAAAAAATCACCAATATAAAAAATGTTACAAATATAAATCAGTTTTCTTGTTTTTTTTTTTCAAAATGTGAACATAAATTTGTCAACACAAAAACAAGTCCTTCTGAGGTTTGAGTCCTGCTGGTTGTGAGAGGAGGAGGAAGAGGAGGAGAGCTTGTGGTCGTATTCCAGAGGAGGAGAACAGAGATGATGGAGATACACCTCCCTTTTCACGAGTGTTTCAGTCTCTTGGAATGTCGCTGCTGATGGCTTGACTGCTCCTCGTCGCTGCTGCCGTCTCCCCGATCCCCCCGGTGACGAGTTCTCCTCGTGCCCCTCTCCCCGTCACTATCCAGCTCCCTGTAATCCTTCCTGCCGGAGGTGGCAGAGGTCCTCTTACTCCTCCTCCTGCTGCTGTTGTCCTCCTCGCTCTCCTCCTCGGTTTCGCTCTCGTCTTTCCGGGCTCGACCGTTCCTGGTCGTCTTCCGGTTGGATTTGCCGTTCTGCGCCTTTTTCTTGGGTTCGTCTTCCTGCTCTTCGCAGTCCTCTTCATCCTCCTCCTCTTCGTCCTCTTCCTCTGATGGAGGGGCTTGGCTAACGCGCTTGCGGGTGCGCCGCCGGAGGTAGCTGATTCCTGGGAGCAGCTTCTGGATGAGCTCCGTGAGCGTCTGCTCCGTCTTCACCATGCAGGAGAGCACCGTGCTGCCCTGCTGGTTGTACTCCTCCGCATTGGAGAACACCAGTTTCATGTCCTCCAGGAAATCCTGGGCGTGGCGGTACGAGCCCTGGCTGAATTTGCCCAGCATGGTCTGGAAGTCCATGGGCTCAGAGATGATGTCCAGGTAGTCCTCTGCCTCATCTGGGGAAACGGGCTCCCTAGAAGGCAACAGAGAATCCAAAAAAGGACACATGAGACTCAAGACTAGGACCCAAAATAATTTGTATTTGGGTCTACTTCGTGTTGTCATACAGGTCCCACCCACAGAATAAAAAAAAAAAAAATTATGTAGCATTCTGGCCAGGGTGAGGAGGATTAAACTGAACTCAGATTTTGCTGCTTAGGAGCAATGGTCACATACATTCCTTAGTGAAATTACCATTAAAAAAAAGGCATTTTGTAATTCCTCATGTTAAATTTGATATCAACAGTCAGACGCTTTTGTCGCATCACTGCTAGCCTGCTGTGTAGACTGCCAGATGCAATAAGGAGTGGCTTTACTTTATTTAATGTGATGAGCGAGAGAAAAAAATAACAATTTTTTTCGAGACAATTGTCTGAAAACGTCACGTGCTGTCAGAACATAAAATATTAATTTGTGCCTTTAAGTTTTGACATTTTAAATGAATGTGGGTATTAAATATAAACTGTTTCTCCACAGTCCATGAACAACATATATTAACTGAGTGATCAGAAAACTCTCACTTCTCTGTATATGAGAAACACATTCTCCAGACTAGGCTACCACATTTATATATAAAAATCTATATTCTTGTTGATTTTTGATGGTTTTATATTCTGACAGATCAGCAGGAACAGGGATCAGCTTGGATCCTTTGACAGTGATCCTGCCAGCTGCTAGATCAGCGTCTTGGTTTGGGTAACGCAACTCTGGATGCACCTGATGTGTATCAATATTGTACACAATGCTTGTAGGATTACTTCTATGGTTCCTGTATGTTTCTGTTAAACCAAATAATATCTGGAAAACTAATATTTTGATCTGGCTGATGCCTCATTTTACAAACATGTCTATGATGTAATGATGAGTGAGGTTGTGCGTGTAAAATGCTTCTCCAACTGTGATACGGGGCCGACTTCCTGAAGAAGCGAGCCAGGTGTTAAAGCGCTGCCATCTGCAACACGAGCCGTATCTCCGGTCTCAGTAGGGTTACAATTTCGGCAAAAACTGTTGTCATCTCTCAGTTATTTAATTCATATACTTTAAGAAGTGTGATTTAAGTGTTTTCTCTGATGGATCTCTTATCAGGAAAGAATCATAGAAAGCTTAAAGCTGTAAACACAGAGGTTTCCTCTACAAAAGGCCTGAGGTGATCCTTCTAAGCACCTTAACGTGTATGTAAAGCAGCCGCCCCTGGCGCTGTCTGAACGTCGCCTAAGCCTGCCTAGCGTCAGAGGTTGCTCTCCTGCTCCTAGCTCACCTGAATGGCCAGCTGTAGCGGAATTTCATGAGCTTCTGCAGGATTTCTTCACACCTCTCCAGCTCCAACGCCTGCTTTTTTACTCCTGTTTGGGAATTCTGTCTCACCTGAAATAAAAATCAAAATAAGCATCAAAACATTTTTTGGTTGTTCCCAAGTTTTCCTGTGGATGTTTTTTTTTTTAGGGGACATCTTACGAGTTCATCGATGTCTGCCGGGTTGCTGGGGCCAGCTCGCTGCTTGCTGCTCTGACTGCTGGAGGCCTTCTTGGGTTTGCTTTTAGAGCTCTTCGACCGAGATGAAGACTGCTTATTTTTCTTCCTCGGCCTCACTGTAAACAAAAGGAGAGGTCAGAATGCTGGCTCTGGACTGGTGAAAAGTGAAATTAAGGTCCAGTGATCCAGAGAGGCTCAAAGGCTGCAGGAACATCATGTTCGAACGGACAGAAACAATCTGCTCAGAGCTGCTCTTTATGGAGCTGACAGAGAGGATCATCATGCCACATTCTCTGAGTGAAGTCAGGGTGAGACAGGAAAGCTTCAAAGCAGGATTCAGACCTCAGCCGCGCTAAATGACAACATGCAGATAATAGAAACTTTCCCCATCGTTTTCCTCATTCCTAAATGTTGGCATGGAGGACAGCCTACATTAAAAACAGCTGAGGTCTGTTTCTATAGGATTTTTCAGCTTCCCATTCATTCTTTTAGGTAATCTCCAGATTACCCAGTCCCTCTAATCTATAAAGTCTGAAAACAAAACATTGATATAAGGAGGTTTTCTGTTGGTTAGTCCAAAAGTGACCCGAGACTCAAACATAAAAATACAGACTGTGGAAGAATGGAGAAGATGAAGGGTTGAAAAATAAAGAAAGGTTGAATCTGACTAAGATTTTAATTTTCTCAGTAAAGGCTTCCTGAATTGTTATTGTATGAATACATCAAGTTGACAGATGGATTTTAGTCAACAGGTTGTTGAAGTCTAGAAGTATTTTTCTACACTGTTCCCTCTTTCTCCAAACTTTTCTATTTTCTGTAGGAAATCAATATATTCCTCTCAGATACTCACAGCTGTGCCCCATGGCTTTGTAGTCATTTTCTTCCTCCTCATCCTCCTCCTCCTCATCAGAGCATTCTTCTTCAGATTCCTCCTCACTCTCTTCTTCATCCGTGTCTTGCTTATAATTTCTACAATCAAATCGTTTAAAGTCATGCTCCGCTCAGAAAAGCGGCAGAAGTGTGTGCGGAAGTCGTTAGCTGGGCGTTGAGGCCTCTTACCGAATGCGGGAGCCCCTCCTGGCTACGGTGGGCTGGCAGGCCGGACACAGCCACTCCCCGGCAGGGATGCGGTACAGAGCCGGTCGCAGGCAGAACAAATGGAAAGCCTTGTTGCACTCATCACAAAGGATGAGTTTCTCATCATCACCTGGATCAGAAGAGGTTTATTAGACACTACTTTTTTATTTTCCTATCTAGAAACTATAAACTGTTCCAACACATCTTTCGTTTTCCTGCTCATCTCTGAATAAACAGATGTAAAATGAAAGTGCTCCATGTGCTGTATCTGTGCAGGTTGCAGAGATTTCACCTTCCTCTTATCACTACAGGATCACCTGAAGGTTTGCGAAGCTGCCAACTCCAAACGTAGACCTGCCTGACACATCTAGCCTTTTCTGCTCTGAGCTTTCTGCTGCTTCCCTGTCTGGATCTGGTCCTACGCTTCATCAGCCTCAAAGGCTGGTCCTTCCTGAGGTCTGGACAGGAAGCAGACAGCTGCATGACTAAACCACCACTGCATCACTCTGAGAAACCATCTGCAAAAATCTTAAGAGGCAACAAGTGGTTTAGGATGGGTTCTCCATAAACAAGGGCTGCTTCAGTTGTTCCAGGGTTGTTGTTTTTTTTAAAGTATAGCTACAGTCAGGGCAGAGAAATAACATTTACATATTCAAGCCCGCTTTGACAGGGCTCTCCTACCTTTCCTGCGACAGACTTTGCAGCGAGCATTCTCGGCAGACATGTCCCACTTTATGCAGGCGTCCAACATCCCCAGCAGAACGTGCATGCGGGAGAAAGTCTGCGCCTCCCTGATTGCAGTCTTCCACTTCTCCACCGCTGAGGCCACCTGAAGGGAAAATTTGAATTTGGTTTTTAAAGCATCTCTCCCATTCTTTTAACAATACTTCTATGCATCTCATTAAGACTGTTTGACACAGACCAACACAGCGATCAGCTCTTTGTCTGTTTTCAGGTCTTAAATATTTTGCAGCTCCAACAGGTTTTCTTTCATATTTGGCCCCATATTTTAAATGCATCCCCAGAGAAGTACGATCATGTTTGGATGCAGAGTCTCTTTCTGTATTTTACATGCTGCTAAAATGAGAAAACTTGCTGTGTTCCTGGGTTTTTATGATACTGGATTATCATTCCCTATCCCAACCAAACCTCAGATGCTTTCCCAGAACAGGAAGAAAAAAAGCTGATGTTCTGGTCCAAATAGATTGGTTTTAGTTTCAGGATAAATGAGGCTGAATTTAAATGGTAAAAAAACCAAGAATCCTTCTCCATCCACAGTAATATTCTAACACATAATCCCCATCAGACTGACCCGGGCTTCTTCTGCCAGTTTCTTCTCCTCGTCCACCTCTTCCGCTTTGCCTGTTTCTTCCCCTGCTTGTTTTTTCTTCTTCTTCTGTTTGGGAGCCATGAAGCCCTGCAGGAACTTTTTGATGACGCAGGCCTGAAGGGTGATGATGCACTCTCCAAAGTCTTTCAAGCTCTCCATGTCTTTCAGCTGCAAACAATCAAATGGAGTCGTCAATCAAAAAAAAAAAAAAAAAACACATTAAAAAAAGGTTTGTGACAATTCTATCTGCTCATATAAAACCAATAATATGACTGACCTGATTTTCTATATCAACGTTGTCGTCTAGGTAACCCAGTCCACCCTTCTGGAGTCTAGAGGCGATTTCCTGGATGTCGCTGCGCATGTATTTGAGCAGCTCAGCATAGCCATCGCAGCTCCTGAGTGCCAGTTTGGCTTTGCGGCTCAAATAGATGGAGTGCAGAATGTCCTGATACCTGAAAACACCAAGTTTTAAAATTAGAAACAGGTTGGTACAAGGTTTATTGACACAAAGTGCCCTTTATATGAATTCTGCAGCAAGTGACATGAAGCCTGTGAGGCCATACAGCTGGACTGCCCAATATCTGCTAAAGTAATTATATCCCATTTACCGGTTCTGAATCTTCAGCTTCAGCTCGCTCTCCCGGACTCCCTGAGAATGAAGACTTTCCACCAGCTCCTCCAGTTCAGCTGGGCTGTCAATGACGAACCTGGGAGAAAAGCCAAGAAGTTAGGTCTATATCAATTTCAGATCATTTTAAGTCCAGAGAAAGAGCAGATGTAGGTTCCCACCAAAGGTTTTGTCCCTGTTTAGGGATTGTAGTTTCAATGCAGACATCTGGTGCTGCCCCCTGCTGGACTCCTTCACTTGCAGCACCGTCAACACTGGCGTTGTCCTTTTCAGCTTCTAAGACGAAACCGTTAAAGTGTCATTATAAAGCCTGGTGTGAAGCAAACAGACTTCGAGGCTGATTCTTGTCTACCTTGTGGATCAGGAACTGAAGCCGCCTCGCTGCCTTCATCATCCTCCTCCTCCATCTCTGCCTCGGCTGGTTTCTCTTCAGGGGGAGGAGTAAAGCTGTAGTCGATGCCATCGTGCACCCAGCCTTTCTCGATGTACAGCCCAGGAACCACGTCGGAGAAAAGCCAGTACCTTCAGTAAAAATTGATTCACGCATTAGAGAGGGCTGACTGAGCAGTGAGGGACTATTTGTACGTGTTGTGGAACAGCAACCTGTTGTGATTTCTGTCTGTGCCGAGCGGGGTCCGACGCATCACCAGCTTGGCTCTGGTTATCCCCTCTTGGAAGGCCCGCTCTGCAGCAGCTCTCTGCTTCCGCAGACGCTCCTCCTCGGCCTCCTTCTCCATCCGCTCTACAGAGGGCCACACAGGAACCGTTACTCATTCAATAGACTTCGCATCATGTGACACATTACTGCTAAACGTTCAGAAAGTGTTAGTGTCACTTCCTACTTTCTACATCGTTTTATGTCTGAAACGTTTGCTCCGATTGTAACACATTTAAAGGCTGTTTAAAACTGTAAACTCAGAATGTCTAGAAGTTAACAAAAAAGGGTAATTTATTCAAGATATTTATTACAAATGATCATTTGTGGGTTCCGCTGTGGGTTCTTCCCTTAGTGCTTCTTATTAACAGAAAAGATTTTAAGATGTCAGAAATCAATGATAGGATGATCATTTTACATTTTTAGCACTTTATGATGTAGAAATGAAAGTCTTATTTTCCCTGACTTTAATTTCACCCCAATCTACACGGTGCCATGATCATCCAGACGGCACTAACATTTAGTTAAACATCTTTTAAACTAACGTTATTGTGGCTCTTTAAAGGTTTATCTAAACCTTTTAGTTTAATGTTCCCAGACCTCATATTGCACATCATTGAAATATTTTCACAAAGTGTCATGGGTCTGAGTTTAGTAAGGCTATAGAAAACACCCCGACACTGGGTCCAAGTTCCAACCATGTGAAATAAGCAGACTCCCTCAGATCAAAGGGAATCAATGAGAAGAAGTCCAACTGAAGCTTTGATATCCAAGAAGACTGATCCAAATGTTGAGCATGGTGGTGGCAGCATTATGGTGAGGGAGCTTTTTGCTACCTCTAAAGTTTCAATCTCACCTTAAAGTTGGACAGTTTGGTGTCGCAGCAGAAAATTAACCCAAACAGATTCAAACTGGATTACAGCTTAATTAGAAAGGCTGCAGAGACGGATTATGTAAACAGAAGTATTCTGTTATATGAATGACCCAATATCTCTGCTGAATTATGGAAGACGCTCGTTGACGGCTACTAAGAGCCACTACTGTCCAGAAGACAAAGGTCAAAGGACCTTTAAGGGTAAATTTGACCACATGTGGCTGAAATAAAATCTGAATTTCACCATTACTGAATAGGTGATAAATTAGATGAAGAGCTGTCAGGTTACCTCTGTTCTGCCGGTCCAGCTCCTCCTTCTCCTTCTTCGCCTGCATCGCCATCAGCCGTCGGCTCTTCACCAGACTGATCAGGTCCTCGGGTTCTGGCTCAGGCTCCACCTTCACTTCCTTCTTCACCTCTTTTTTAGCCCCTCCCTCTTTTTTCTTTTCACCTAAGCACAGAGCCGTCAAGTAGTAAATATCTCCAGCCGATCCACTTACCAGATGATCAGTTAAGGGGTGGAGATCTAACCTTTTCTCTCCATCTCCTTTCGCATCTTCTTTTCAGCCCTTTTGCGGTCATTGACCTCCTTTAACATCGCCAGACGCTCCTTCCACAGCTCGGCAGAGCGCTGCTGCATCGCGTCGACGTGGTCCTCCACAGAGTAGGTCATGAGGATGCGGTGACACAGAGCTACCAACAGATCCACCTTCTCTTCGGGGCTTAGCTCAAATACCTCCACCGTTTCAAGCTTCTCCAGGAACTCGCTGCTCACCACATCATCATATCCACCCATGGCCCCGGAGTCCTCTGACCCCTTGGCGCTCTCTTCGTGAGCGTCGCATGGCCGCAGGCACAGCCGCGTCAGCTCTGAGGCGGAGTGCATGGTGAGGGGGATCTCTGACAGGGACATGTCCAGCTCGCTGTAGCCTTCAGCCAGCTCGTCCTGCAGCAGCGTCTGCAGCAGAACCACCAAGACGCGGTTCAGGTAGTGGAAACCCGACCGCTCCCCGGCCAGAGCTTCCATCAGAGCGCCCGCTGTTACCGGGTACTGATCCTCTGGCATTAGCAGCTGGGCATAGCAGTTCAGGAAGTCCACCACCATGGCCACGCTGCCAAAGAGGGTGTTCGGCAGGCCTTCGGGCATGTCCACCAGTTTGAATGTGGGCAGCGCCTTGCCGCCTTCTATCTCTTGGTCCTCGTATCGACGTGACTGTTCTTGTCGGACCAACATCTCCTGCTTGCGTTTCTCCTTGGCCTTCTCTCTTAGTTTCTCTTTGAGTTTGGCACGCCTTCTCTTCATCTCCTCCATCCGCTCCTCTTCACTCATGGCCGCCAATTTCTTCTTGTGCTCCAGCAGTTCCCAGCGTTTCTGGACGAGCTCCTTCAGCTCATCCGGCAGACGCCCGCGGTCATCGGCGGATAGCGTTTTTGCGGCTTTAGAAACGAGAGAAGAGAGGGAGGTTTTTTTATCCTCTTTTCCTTTATGCTCCTTATAATAACGGATGAGGTGCAGAGCCATCGGGTGCAGCGGCTTCCCTAGTTTCGGTGTACCCAGGCTGGTGCTACGGGGTCTCTTCTTGGGACTCCCTGTGGGCGTCCCTTTAGCCAGCTGTAGCAGAGTCATCTGCTTCATTTTTGGTGTCTTGTCGCTAGCCTTCCCGTCTTTTTTAGATTTGAACACATCCAGCTTCTTATCGCCACTCTTTCCGCTCTTCTTCCCATCCTTTTTTTCTCCAGTTTTCTTGCCAGATTTGGGAGTGGATGGTGCTGAGCTTCTCCCTTCTCCTTTCTTAGAACTCCCAGAGTTCTTCATCTTGAGGGGGGAGCCATTCATTTTCATCTTATGAAAAAAATAAGAAACATGAAAAACAAGATGTTTACGAAGAAGTATTTAAATGTGAAATGATGCCTATAACATTAGAACTGAACTGTGGATGATCCTTTAATGCTGTTATCTATGGAAGCAAATCATTACCATATTTCAAATGAAAAGCATTTCCAGAAATGCTTTTTCATTTTAAGAATGTGGCTGCATTACTTGACTCATAAATAAAATTAGCATTCAATCATTCAATAAGAAAATTAAAATGCAAATAGGATGATTGATTACTAATTTTATTTATGAGTCAAGTAATGCAGCCACATTAAAATGAATAGGCATTTCTGATAATGCTTTTCATCTGAAATATGGTAACGATTTGCTTCCGTAGTGATCCAGTTATGCCAGCAGGTGGCGTACATCGCTCTGAGGGATTCCATCGACTAACCTGCATGTGGCCCCACATGGTGGGACTAAGAGGTAATCCTTGAGAGTCTCTCTTTTTCTTCTTCTTCTCCCCTTTCTCGTTTCCTGAATCCTCTCCAGGTGTGTCGCCGGTCTTGACCTTCTTACTTGGTTTGCCCTCTGAAGAAGTCAAGCTTTTACGCTTTGTGGAGGGGTTTTCAGCAAAGAACTGTCACCAAAGATGAGGAAGAATTAGCAGATGGAAAGAGCAGCTTTATGAAGTTAAACTTTAAGTAATTTCTGTAGGATTCTAAGTGACACAAAGTTGCTTAAAATCATAAAGTGAAGCTTTTCCAGAACATCTAGATTTATTAGTTACTTATAAGGCGATTGTGAAGGCAATGGAAGGACACCTTTGGGATTTAAGGGCTGTGTGGGAGAGGTTTTATTTAATTACCTTCTGCGGATCAAGAAGGAAGTCGCTGAATTTGCTGGGCAGGTTGTATTTTTTCACCAGTTCATCTTCAACCACCCAGGGGGCGCTTTCTCCTTTGCCCAGCCTCAGAGCGTAGTGTCTGATGAAGTAGCGCATGATCTCCTTGGTGGGAGGGCGCTCTGTTCTGTAGAGACTGTCTGTTGGGACATTGCTGATCACCTGTTTTAGAGGACGTCATGGCAGAAGGGTCAGTTATCACATCATGTCTCGCGGGGGCTGCGTTACAGTCTGAAAACAACAACCAACCTTATCCTCACTGATGAGCTTCACGTCATACTTATGGGGAAGAAATTTGGGCATGACCCATCTCTTCTTCTCTTCTTTTGTGGCAGTGGTAGCTTTCCTTGGAGAACGCCGCGCCCTGTCGCCTAAAAGAACCAAAAAGAAAAGCATGTTACGAAGAAGGGATGAGGCAGTTGGTACCAGGGCTGGGAGAAGACGTACTCAGGCTGTCCCTCCTGCTGTCCTCCTCTCGGGACGGGGGCTCCTTCCTCTGGTTCTCCTGACTTGCGTTTTCTTTATCGCTGGATGGGGAGTCACATGCACCTTCCAGCTTCTTCTCGCCCGACTCGCCCTCTGGGGTTTCCAAAGGATGAACCTTGATCACTTTTACCCGCAAACTTTGGTCTTTTCCCACCTAGAATCAGCAGAGATGATAATCACAGAGGGGAGGCTTCATGACAGAGGCGTAAACACATCAAAAATTATGTATAATAATACAGGTAATACAATAATATTTGAGATCTATGGATAGAGAAATGTAAAAAAAAAAACATCATTAACTTCACAGAAACAGCTTCTTAGGAAGATAATTATATATTTTTTTGTGATAAAACACTGATGTTTCAAAAACACATGCTTGTTTCAAAATGAGGTGGGTCTGCTAATGCTCCCAGTTAAAATAAAATGCATGTGACAGAAATAAAAAAGGTTTTAAAGTCAAAACTAACCAGGAAGTCACACTCTTCGCCCACAGCATACTTGGTGAGGATTTCCACCCAGGCCATCTCCACCAGTTTGTCTAAGGACACGGTGTTGTGGTGGACCATCTCAAGGACTGGCTTCTCAAACCATAGCGGATACTCCTCCTGGAGCCTGGGGGAACAAAACAACAGAATTGGTGTTGCACTCAAAACATAGAACCTTTTTAATTAGTTAGCAGCTATTACTGTTTGGTTTATGTGGAGATGCTGAGAAATACATTGACCACTAGGGGGAGTAAAAACTCTGGCGATATAATTAGAGTTTAAATGCAGCTTATGACCCTGGGAAACCTAAGCACCTCTTTATCTGGTCTGTCCTGTGACATCTTTCTAAGGTCATGACATCAGGAATACAAAGTTAAGGAAAACATCCTGTAGCCATCACAGGTTAAATAATACATTTCAGAGATTGCATAAAATAGAAACAGAGGAGGAGCTAAATATCAGTCCAACTGTGACAGAGCAGGCGTGGTCTTGACAGGCAGGAGCAAAGTTCCCCATCATACCATCCACCTTCCACTACGAGAAAGTTTGTAATCATTTATAAAGATCTGATTCCTGATAATTTAGTGATAGTGAGTTTAAGACTGCTCTAAAACTGTAAAAACTGCAAACAAAAACCTTTTCATTATTACAACAAACCATTCAGCTGAGATTAAATCAAAGCCTCTTGCACTCACAGCTCAGTGACTTCTTGTTCCTCCTCCCAGGCTTCTTTGTGAGTAAGCTGGAGGCTTCCTGTGCTCTTGCATGTCCAGATGCGTTCACTATATCTTTGCAGTCGCGCCTCATACTCTCTGCGCACATCTTGTCAAGGGAAGTGCAGCATTCAAATGTGTTTTTTTTTATTAAACAGCGAAGTGTAAATGACAATTGTTTCAATCCTGAACTTAGTGTCAGAAGAGTTTTAATACACTCAAAAAAATAATGCAACTGTTTTTGGCATTTACTTAATCATATTTAGTTACTTTAACACAATTGTTTTATGTCCTACCCAGCTAACAAGAAACTATTGTCTTGAAGTATGATTAAGTAAATGCCAAATGTGTTTGGCAGATTGTTCTGACACGTTTAGTTGTGAAACTGATCAATCTGTCAAGAAGGATTTTTTAAAGATCTCACAGAGATCACAGCAAACCTACACTAAGAGGTGTATTTGCACTTTACTTGCTAATGATGTAAATCAATTCTCACTTATGAAAAAAACCTCCTAAAATGCAGAAGGACCCTTGATAGTTAGTGGTTTGTTCAGGAATCTTATACACAACCCAGGCTGGAACAAAAGCAGCCTAATATAAAACAGTTATTAATGTGCTTATTATCATCGCACCACCCTGCATTTAAATCTTTCTGTATTTGCAGTGTTGCTGTTGTCCACAAGCACAATTGATTTAATTGATTCTTTCAAGAGATTCAGTGATGAATTGGCCATAGGCAGGAATGTGGGAAGTAATCAGGTAAAAACAAAACAACGGATTTAAAAAAAAAAGGTATTAATTCCTCCAATAAGCATGCCCCACAAGTCTGCCCTTAAATGTCTCCAACTCTAGCAGGCACTGTGACGCACTTCGTTTGACTTAATTGAAGGAGAGAGAAAAGGCAGAGAAGCCTATTGGCTGATAAGCATCTGTTTACAAGAAATCCTCCATTTCAGAGCAGGAAAAAAATAAAAATAAGTAGCTAGATAATAAAATAACCATGAAAAACCTTTCTGGTTTGCGGGCATCCCAGCTGTTCCACTGTTATAACTGACCTTCTAATGTGTCATGACAATGAAGCTGAGAGTCATAACAGCGCTCAAGTTTAGCTCTACCCGAAGCTGACAACTAGCTACGTAACATAACCTAGCTAAGTGATGGAGGCTACTGACTCCCTTAATACAGACACAAGTAAATTGTAACACTGAGTCCAGATAGTCTACTAAAGTGTCCTTCAACAAGCACAGACGCGTAATAAGGTTGTCGTGCGCCAACAAGTCGGCTGGCTAACCGCTGCTCCGCTTTGTGGATGCAGGCCAGCAGCAGCACTGTGACATAATAAGATACCTAACGTTAGCTAGCTAGTTAGCTAGCGCCGTTAGCATCGGCTAGCTGTCAGCGGAGCCGCGAAAGCTGAAAGTGAAAGACACTCGCCCCCAATTTATTGAACCATTAACCCACACATACATCTTAATTTAATGTTAAATAGCTTAAGCTGCTAATGAATAGCCACAATGTACAAGTTAGAAGAGAAGTAACACGGTTAGCTAGCAAGCTTGTCATTCAGTCTAAATGCTGTACATATAAAGAAATGACAGGTAATGTCAAATTCCTTAAAGGTCTACGAGTAAAAATAATGGAACCATAGATGTAGCTAATAATGGACATAAAAGACAGGCAACTAATGGAGCGGTTGAGTTGATATCTTGATTCAAAACATGGTTGTTAAAGGATACTCTTTGTTCCCGAAGGCCTCCTTGGTATGCTCGATGATGTAGACCTCTTCTCCCGGGCCTGGTGGCTCGGCTAGCGGCTTAGCCAGCGGGTACGGTTTCCGGCCCAGCAGCGGTGCCATGGCGGTACCAAAGACGGCACGAGTGCCAGAGGTTAAAATATACTTTCTGGCAACAGACTAGCAAAATTTCACCCCGTGGTAGTTGTTAGCATGTATCCAGGTGTCAGTTGGGTATATTCACAGCTACAGCACGTCTCGCGTAATTGCCGGCAGGCCCCGGCTCTCAGCGTGCTAAAGCTAGCTGGTTAGCTAGCAGCTTGGCTCGCTATCTCGTTGCAAAACAATAACAGTGAGCGTCTCACCAATGGCCTCATCGCAACATTCTCCGCTTCAATAGCAGCAGAAGGGCCCCGATTTTAAGTAGAGTCCAGATGTTGTAAAAAGATGTTACAGCTTTCCTCCGACGGATAAGTTAGTAAACTTTTAGTTCCTTCAGTAGGCACGAAAGGATGAGAGCCACGCCGATATCAAACTCGCGGCAACAGCCAGAGATCGGTTGCAGATCTCTGTCGCTTTACAGTACCGATAAAGTATTTTAAAACCAGGACTGATATATTTCGCTGGATAGATCTTATTTCGAGGTTTCGATTTCTCTGAAAACTATATCCGTAAATGTCACAATTAAGTGTTCCCAATCAAACAAGAGGTTAATTCCCTGTCGAAATGGCGGGAGTTTCTAGTCCACCGGCAAGAGAGCCCTCAACCCGTTTCCCCGGCAGCAAGCGGCGCCGTGCACATGCCCCGCCCCCTCTCTAACGCTATTGGCTGTTTAGGCGTCGCTTCCCTGATTGAATTCCTTTAATGAGCTCTCATTGGCTACTAGCGCATTTCTGTCGTCACCAGTTAGTCAGCAGCAACCTTAAATAAACCGCGCTTACACTGATAGTAAAATCCAACATGAAGATGACAAAAATCGCCGTTAATAAGCCATTTTTTTAAGACAGACATGTAATTTATCCGTCGTTGAAGTTTTCATAAAAACTTCTGCAAATATCTTATTAAAACATTTTAATTCCTTTCAGTGCTGTTGACATTTTTAAATGAATAATTCCTGTACCACATACATAAGTGTTAAAAGTAATCACATTCTATATCTAAAGAAGATACCTGTATATTAAAGAATTTAAATATACCCACTGAAAACATTGACTTTCTAAAACAAAAAAGTTTAATTTAAACTGTACTCAGAGATTTATTTTGTCTTTTTGTATACACGCGTGTAAATAAAAACACATTTCCTTTAAAACAGCTCTAGACAATTTCATTTTTTTGAAGGGCAGCCTTAAAAAATTGTAATAAATACATAAAAAAGTAACAAACATATGACTGTATATTTACAGTTCTAACAATTTTTTTTTGTCTTTCTTGAGGATAAAAATAAAATAATAATAACAATATTTGATGGAAAATATGGTTATTTCCCTATTTTTCTCCCAGTGCTGGTAGAGATAACATACTTACTGTTACTGCTGTAAATTAAAATCTAAGATTTAATATAGACTGAACTGAACAGCAGCTAATAACATCAAAACTTTAAGATAACTTTTAAAAATAACATAAATGTGAAATGGATGGGGAATGTCTTACATTTTAAGAGTCTAATCCATCATTTCAATATTTCCCAGCCACCTGTCTTCATCCCTGTCTCGCTCTGTTTTATGGTTTTATTTTTTTTATAAGCAAACTGCTCTATTGGATTTTTATCTCTCTTTAGTTGTGGTTGTTACAATATTTCCTTATCTATATGAATCGAAGTAATGAACCATTTTTTAAGAAAGTAGGAGTATAAATTACTGATATTTGTGTTAAAACATAAAACAATAAAACTAACAAGTTATCAGAAAAATCTGTACTCAAATTACACTGGAAAAAAAGCTACTTTAGCACATTAACCAGGTACAATTACTTAATCATAATTCAGCTACATAGCCAAATGAATTAGCTAAAACAAAAAGCCTTCAATTTTAGTTTAGAATATAAACTGTTTAACTAAGAAAATGGATCAGAGACTTTTTAGCAACCCCTCATCCTGAGAAAAGATGGGATAATTGTGGAAATAAACATTTCTCTTTTAAGGAAAAAGCTAAGCACAACCTGGATCACAATGGGTATATTCTGAAAATTCAAAATTATTTCAAAACACATCTGTGAACATTTCTGTAGCGCCCACAATCGCTTAGCACATTAGAGGAACAGCCATGTAGCCCAAAAAAAAAGAAGCCATTTATAGACTGTATTTTCTTTAAAAAGCACTTTTATTCATAAGCCATAAGATTATCACAAGAAACATCAACTTAAAAACTAAAGGGTACCACATCACTCTGCATAAAGCTACACATGAAAGTTGTTTTGTTTGTTTTTATAGGATAGCCAGTATGTTCATAAAAATAGCTATAGGCACATGCTAGAGTCTAACTAAAGTAGAACTTAGAAAATCCAATGTTTACAACATGTGAAGAGAAATGCCTTAGGACATACAAAATTTAGAAAACTGCTTTCATTCTGTTGGATAAAAACAAAAACAAAACACTAAATTTAGCTCAGCTGAAACATAAGACCTGCGTTTTAAAGAGAACCAGAAATATGCTGAAAGCTTTGCTAATCTTACAACAACCAAGAACACGTAATCATTGCATGTGGATTGATACAAAAAAAGCTATCTGGGGGCAGCATTTTCCCCTGTGCAAATCCTCTTTAAAGGCGGTGCTCCCGATTCATCTAGTTCGTCCTGTTAAGAGAAAAAAGGATCAGGTTACAATTCAGATCTACATCATGCAGCAGATGCTTGATATGTAACACGTATTTAATTAGGAGCAATATTTGCATTTGTTTTTGCTTATGATAGTTTACATATAGTTGACTTGCCTGAGTATCTGAGGTTCTGCGCCTGGCGGTCCCTGATGAAAGCAGATCCTCTTTGATGAGCGTTGGTGGCTCGTCTGCACCGTCGCGACCAGAATGCACTGGTTCTGGAATATTTTGAATATAACATAACTCTACAGATTCCCAAATCGTTAGAATCTGTTGATTAAAGACAAACCCCACATACCGTGTACACTCTCTTGTCCGAGCATAGGTGGCTGAGAGTCTTCAGCGCGAAGGCTGTAGGTGTGCGGTGGGCTGACCTGCTGAGAGCTGGAGGTGCTGCTGCTGTTGTTGTCAAGTTTTGGCTGATAAACGTCTGACAGAAAGCTCTGGTTGCTGTTTTCATCTATGAACACATAAGATGACTTCTTAAACTCTTAAAACAAGCTCATTATAAAAAGATGTGTTTTTCTGATTACCTGATAACCATTAAACCTACCGGTGAAGTCCAGCATAGAGTTAGTGTTTTCAATGACCACGTCTTTCAGGCCCCTGACCTCTCCACTAGTGGATTTGGTGCGAAATATCTAAGGGAATGAAGTCGTTTGAAATAATTGACCAAAGAGGAGAAATACAATTATATAGGGCAAAGCCATAAATCCTATGATACTACTATATATATATATATATATATATATATATATATATATATATATATATATATATATATATATATATATATATATATACACACATAGATATGTGTATGTGTGTGTGTAAAAAAGGAAACAATAAAGACCGTTTGCCACCTTATTAAAGGTTTACTTTCTTTCAATGGACAATTCTACAGTGGCCAACAGGTGCAAACGAGCAGTAACTAATTAATTGAACTTTATTGCACTCAATAAAGTTAAATTAATGAGCAAATCAAGCGTGAGCTGCAAATACATGTGTGATGCAAACTCCAAAGCAGGCAAACATTGAAAAAAAAAAAAAAACAACTGCAGAAAAAAAACGCTCAAAACAAAAAAATCCTGTAATGACTGAAAATAGAAGCAAAAACCTACAATAAAAAAAAAAAAAAAAAACTAATAAAAACAATAAATGCTGCAACCAGAAACAAAATGCTGCAAGCAAAAAACATTGATACAAATAGTAGCGAACTCAAGCCACTAAATTATAGAGCTTTGGATCACTAGAGTTGAACACAGAAGAGACCATATCGGACCAGAGCTTCTGTACAAAACACAAGTCAAGCTTTAATGTAGGATTGTTCTTTAAACAAAGTTGGGGAAAGAATAGAGAACTTAGTGACAGTCTTACAGACCTAGAACATAGTCATGTATATATAAGTAACACTCTGGTCTGATATGGTTTGTTTTTTGTGGTTTTTGTTATTTGTATAATTATGTTTGATTGTAGGTTTTAGCTTCTATTTCAGCGATTGTAGCATTTTTTTGTTTCATTCGTTTTTTTTTTGTGTTTTTGCGTGTTTAGGTGTTTGCATTTTTGCAGCTCGTTCTGTTGTTTTTCTGCTTGTTTGCACCAATTTTCAGCTCATTTCTTTATTGATTGCAGCATTTTTCTGTTTTATTGTTTTTTTGTGCTTGCATGTTAGCTGCAACTAATGACCCTTTTACAAATCGATTAATCTGTTAATTATTTTTTCGATTAATAATCTGATAGCAAAAGGTCCCTAAAAGAGGACTTTTTAAAATGAAATTAAACTTGAGGAGTTCTGGATAGAGCATATTGACAGAGGAAAATGTTTTTTATCTTAAATGCAAAATGTTTACATATTTATTTTACAGTTTTGGTATAGTTGCTGCTCAAAGTGAGCTGCTCTGTCAGCTAAAGATACGTTTTAGAGTCTCTACATTCCAGTTAACGATTAATAAATAACTAAATGAGTTTACGATAATTTTTAAGTAATCAATTAATCCTGATTAATACAAATAACCGTTTCAGCCCTACACATGTTTTTGCAGCTCCTTCTTCGTTTACTGTGCGCTTGCATCCATTGGCTACCATAAAATTTATTTTTTAAACCTTCAACTCCAGATTTTCATGATCCATTCACAAAGATCAGTGTAATGTATTGGGATTTTTTTTATTTGACAGATAAAAGGAAGTCAGATATATGTGTAAAAGAAGGAGGAGGGGTAATATGGATTTTGGAGTTTCTACTTACTTTAAACATCTGAAATATTTGTCCATTGTTGTCTCCAAAATCACTTTAACTCAGTAAGATTGGGTAGGGGAAAAAAATATGTGGAGAAACAAGAATTCTTTATTCAATTCAATGCTAAGTATTGTTGAAGTGGCTGCATGTTTGACACCCTTCAGGGCTACCCTGTAAATAGCTTGATCCATTCATAAAATCCATAAAATGATGCTGCCTCCACTGTGTCCTTAAGATTCTGCATTCACAATGATCTAATGGGGTGGTCTTAGAATGAGAAATATGGGAAAATCGATATAACAGCTCCAATACTTAATGGTGTCCCTAAATCCATTCCTGAATACCTTTGCTTAGTGACATGGGGTCATTTATTCTTATAGTTCTGCAGAACATAAGACAAAAAGTCGCAATGAGCCTTATTTCTATTGTGCATCCTTCTTCCATTGCTAAGCTGCTTCCTGCTTTTAAATACCGTAAAACATGTCTGAGGCAGAGGCGTAGCCAGAAAGTTTTTATAAGGGTGGCCAGACAAAAACCAATGTAGACTGAGGGGTGGCCGGAAGTGGATAGGCGCCAGAACCTCAGGGTCAATCTACCCTGTTCCAAAAGGAAAATTAACGAGCGCAACATTTTTTAAATGAAGACAAAATATACTTTCCCACAGCCTTTGCTAACAAATAGACGCATATATTTAAACATCTGTGCTTTCTAGATAAAAGTTATAGTGGG